ACCCTATTGATTCCTGATCTCGGTTATATTTTTGTTTTTTGCTAAGTGTGCACATACTTTCGAAACAAAGGAGAAAATTTTCTTTAATAAAAAATTATGTTAGCAGCTACGATGTTCTTTCAGAATAAGTGTTCGTAAGTTATCGCACACAAGGAATTGAATGGTCAAGGTCACAGGTTACAAAAAGCAATGGTAATCCCAAAAAAACAAAATGTTGGGTGTGCACATACTTTTGAAACACACTGTAGCATGCTTCCTTGTTCGTTAATAGTTCAAACAAGATACTTTGCAGTGTAAAAAAATATCCGGAGTATGTAAACCAAAAAAAGAAAACAAGGAGGCACTTTGAGAGCTGAGTCTTACTCGCTGAGTACTATAAAGCAATGAAAGCATCAAGTATAATAAGTTGCGTTTCCAAAAAGGCAAATTAAGAATTTACAAAGAAAGCGATAAAGGAGGGCATTTTAAAAGCCTAAAGATTCATCAAAGCAGCTCAAGTCTGCGGGATCTTGTTCGACAGCATTTGCGGACAAGAAGTTCGCCGCCCAAGACGAGCTTCACTGAAAGGCGCGTAGTACCAACGCAGTGAATCTGTGCAAATCTCGGTAGATACTATTTCGATACTTACTGGGTGAAAAATGTCTTGGAGAACAGCAACAATCTATAATTTTGTGCAGTCCCCTAAACGAAACCTATTATTAACTATTATGCTATTATTAGAGCATAATGGTCACGTTTTTCACGACCACCTTTGAATTAGAGAGCCTTTTTTCTGTGGTTTCTCAAATAAAATGCCAAATAAAGTGAAGAAATCACCTGGCACTTTCAACGACACGACAACTTCCTTGTCATCCTTCGCAGGAGCTATATCCATAGCTTTCTTGCTAATCAGCCCGTTGAATCGGGGACTATTGATGCCACGAAGATTGAAAGGTTCAACAGAAAAATGCTTCTTGATCCCTTTCTGTCGTCGAAGAAAACAATTGTTCTTACGAATGATTTGCCAGGTTAAATCGGCAGACATATTTCCCTGTAACAATGTATTTGCTTAAACATGCCATATATGTTGCAAGCTAACAAACGCAAACAAAACAGTAACTTCTGCCTGAAAGTAATTCGTTCTCTCCTAGAAAGAGGGAAGGGACATCCGTAGCAACAGTTCATGCTAGTCGAGGAGAGAACGAAAGGAACTAATACTGTGAACACCAAAAAACACTGCATAGGGAACGATCGATAATTGTGAACCTGTGCTCAGGATTCTTCCCATAATATTAGCCCACTTCGCTTTTTATATTAGCCACTGGTTCACAATTATCGATCGCTACATACACAACAAATTTTTCAAAACTACTTAACGCAGAAGGTTGCGAAAGGCTGGCTAAGAAGGCCCAATCATTTTCGCCACAAAAGCGAACGAAAGACTTATTTTAGGTCGAAACGGAAAATAACACACGTATATTCGACTGAAACACGAGTTTTAGGACAGTTATGAAGATCTGTGCCATCCTATAAGTAATTAAATCAGTTTTATAGCACTACGAACAAAAACTTCAACAAAACGAAAAATTTATAATGACTACAGAGTGAAACGCTGAGTAATTAGAAGGTGAGAAGTAGAGTCTGGAAACAACTAAAAATAACCGACTAAATCAGCAGTAAGACGAACTATGCAAGCCACTCATGAAGAACTTGATTATTATTATATTTGGGCTGAATTTGTCGAAATCATGAAGAAAAAAGTAAATTTACACTAGAAAAGTAAAGAAGTTCGAACGATCAGGCCGATATTTTGAGAAACCCAAAATTCGCGATTGCCCGACAATTGTGAAGGACGGCATAATACGTATCGTTCCGCACAGAACCACCAGTGAACCATGTTAAAGGGCAACGCTATTCACTAAGCCGAACATAGAAGAATTGTTAATTTCATTCATTAGCTATTGCAACAGTAAATGAATTGAAAACAATGTACAGAAAATTGCCCCAGATTTCAAGCGAAGTATAGTAACGAATTAATACCACGAGAAAATCTATTCTCATTACCATAGTGCTATATTGTCCTTGGAGCGTGTTACCATCACAACAGAGGAAGCAGCTGAAGCGGAAATATTATTTTATTTTATTTATCATATACGCCATATAAGACATCGTCGATAAGGAAAACATCAACAACGACAGCAACACAACACATTTCGATAGAACAACAAATTCTGAGAACAGAAAGTGATAACTGTGCTTGTAAGATATTTTACCAACCCCGTTTGAAGGAGCTCAGAGAGCCTTGAATGCTGGAGCCCTGCTGATTTGCAAGTATGCAAGACCAGCCCTTACGGTGTAAGTATCTTCTTATGCTTGTTTTGGGCCTAGAAAAGGATAATTTGAGTTGACTACCCATTGTTTTGGAAGGAATCAATGAGTAGAAATCCGAAAAATTAACCGCGGATTCGCCTGTCAGCGATTTGTGTATCACGTACAAGTCAAGGAGCTCGCGCCTAGATTGTAGTGAAGGAAAACTGAAATATTTGTTTCTCACTACGGCCTTAAGAATTTTTGAACACAGAAGACCTCCTCGGCGAATTAGATTTTTCCAAGTGAAATTGTTCTGAACCCTTTCTAGCAACATGATGTTTTACTTTTTATTGGGGCAAAAAACGACGGCCTCGCTTTTCACTAGTGAACGGACATAGGACTTATATGCAAGAACAAGAACATTTGTATCCTTTGTGGTGGGTGCCTTGAAGATCTAGATCGCCTTACGGTATAGAGCAATACGCTGGATATGGCTACAATGAGACGAGAAGTCGAGTTCGTCATTGTAATGGAAGCCCAAATCCCTGACCTCCCTCGCTTTCCTGATCTCGATGCCCTTTATGAAGTACGAGACACTACCAGGAGAGGAACCTACACGCATATGAAGCGTCTTCGTATGGGAGAGGGGGAGTTGCCACTCTTCAGACCACTGAATTAGTCCATCAATTGCAACCTGTAAATCAAGAGACTCCCTGGAAGTCTTTATGACTTTATAGAGCTTCAGATCATCAGTATATTGTCTGCAAGCGTCATTAAACTGGCTACAGCAGCACCCCAGGTCAGCCGAATAAATATTAAACAGTATTGGTGACAAGACTCCACCTTGTGGAACACCTTTTTGGCATTTGAAAACATCAGAGTATGCAGAGTTCATACGCACTTGAAAGGTTCTGTCACTAAGAAACTCCTGTATCCTCTGCAAACTTTATCATGGAATCCCAGCAACTGCAGCTTATACAACAGTTTCTTATGACTGACTTTATCATATGCCTTTGCGAAATCGAAATAGTAGATTACGTCCACACTTCGTTTATTATCTAAGGCCATCGTCCAATCATTGAGCGATTCTAACAGATTCGTAGTTACTGACTTTCCCTTTACATACCTTTATCTTTATCGTTATTATATTACGCTGCTGAAGGTAAAAGTGAAAAACAAATAGTATGTAATATAATAGATTGCAACTAATATATTTATGATTATCTATCACAATTATACGCAATGTGATGAGAACAATTTAAGAAAGGACGCTGGTAGATCCTAAAGATTAGGATGTTTTATAGCTTCATACTTCAATGACTATCTTATTTTCAACTGCGCCAGCGTACATAAAGGATAAGGATAAAGTTTTTTGGCGTTAATCAAAGGGGGTGCGCCCCGGAATTGGCTTTCATTCGGAACAATAATGGCGTAATGAATGCGTATGTAGCTGTACAAGTCAGTTCTTTTATACGCACAAAAGAGTCTGATACCGATCGACCGATCGCGGAGGGGTGGAGAGCTTGGTTGGCTTGGGCGAGTATCGATCCCGGAGTCGAATCCGTGACCACGCATGTGTAATAGTGCGCCACATGCCACTATACCATCTCCGTCACTTAACATATTTGAAATAATTATGATTTCTGTAAGCTTCATATATGTGCTGGCGGTTCTAAATATAGCTGACAATTCTAGCTTTCGTCTTAAGATATGACAAGATTATCTTAGTTTCTGTACCTCTAGTACCTGGGTCAGCGGTTCAGTAAAAGACAGAAGACCTAAAAGAAGAACGACTAACGCAGAGCATCTACAATAGAGAAACACTTGATCATTATGCGCAGATCGTGAAGTATCCAAAAATGATTACGAGTGAGAGTCCACTGCAGGTTTGGAAACTCAAAGAAGCCCCTTTACAGATGTTTCACTATTTTTCTCCAAAAATCAAGCTCCTTGATACGTGGGGGAACACTGATATCACATTAAATATATTTTGAATATGATTCTGGTGCGGCTGAGCTAGAGCTCGAAGGCTCCTACACCAGAAAGCTAGCACTTCACAACCGTTCTCAAGGATCGAGGGATTGTCCCTTCAGTGCATATTTGAAAAGTCTGTATGGGCAACAGTGTTTGCCCTAACTATCAAGTGCAGAGCAACATGGTGGTACGAGAGACGACCAGGCAAGTATTATATACTACCCCTGACTCCTTGACTTTTCTTCTTTCTTCTATGTTAAACCCCAACCTCACCTTCGACTGTTGAGGGGCATGGGGATTTGGTTAGCATCAATCCACGCCGTCGCAGAACTTATTGTTCCTGTCGGCCATTTCTACTTAACTCTATCAGCTGCTTTGACTTTGGCTTCGTCGAGGTCCTTCATGATCACCTCCCGCTCCCGCATTTTCGGAGCTTCTCATGGTCGCTTCTCCTAAGGCTCGAATTCCATGACATCCCTTATCGACTGATTATTTCGAAGGGAGGCCACACGCCACTTCGCGTGCGGCGCAGCCCCTGCGATCTGAAATGACATTACAATACCACTCAGTGTCAGTGGAGTGAATGATTTGCATTGGTCTGTGTTATCTTCACTTTAGGCTGACTGCCGTGGACGAAACGCCAATCGTAAGCCCCGTTGACAACAGCGATGCCTGTCAAAAATCGCGGGCTGACAAGCCGCGTGCGACGGATACGGCGTGCTCAAATTTCGACTGACGCGCAGAACGAGGTGCACCCTGCTCAACCTATAGCCAGAGAAGTATACTCTCACAAGAGGTTGAATGGTTTGGACGAGTTGCTCACCGATGAAATTATGTTGAGGGGACAACCGAAGCCCATGCGCCGTGCCGAACAATTATCACTGGCCCTTGGAAACTGCACGCGAAGTGGGCGGGTAGCCTACTTTCGACGGATGCGCGGAATGTACGTCCCCCGTATCTGCTTCAAATGTTTTTTTGTTCTACCCGTTTGAACGGAATCGATGGTCGAGCTACTCCTAAAAGCCAACTAGCCTTTTATTCTACGCCAAACTAACGGCTTCATCAGAACTACTTCGCGCTGGGTGGTCTACTGGATAACTGAAGGGAAGGCATTTGTAGACTATGCTGAGAGCAAGCTTGTGACATCTGCAGGTATTCGCACCTTATTTGCGTTTTTCTCCTCTTCTGTGTTCCGCATTAGCGCTCGTACACTTTGGACACGGCAAAAAGAAAAGAAATCATAGAAGCACCTATGTCGAAATTTTCAGTTGATTTTGAGCTCAAGCCCTTCGGTATATTTGGAACATGATCAAAATCAGATCGATGGTGGTAAATATTAAACTACACCAATGCTACACATATTGAAATTTCGCTTGATTAGATCCATTAGGAAGGGGTTATGACTGAAAATTACGAGTGAAGAAGCATTTGGCCGAATACTTTTGAGCGCTACTGTACAGTGAGTGTGGCTCGTATCTCCGAATCAATCACCTGTATCAGCTGTCATCCTGGTGATCAACACTTTCTTTGAGCAGGCGCCAGTAACGTCTCTACTCATCCCTGTCGCAAGCCAGTGTGGTTCAATGGATCGTCCTTGCTGAAGGGACACGAGGCATAGCAATCCTTGCTCAGTGCTTCCATGAACATATCCATGAAGATGCCGCAGTCCTGGCGTTCGTATGACGCCCCCAAGGATCCAATTAGTAACCGTATTTGATTAAACATTTTCACAGCCCTACTGAAATTAGCTTTTGGGACACG